ATGTAAGCCCCATTTTATTTTTAGTAGTTACGACTTCGGATTCAGTAGGAAAATGTACTCGTATAATTTTTTGTTAGGAAAAAAAAAAAAAAACCTAATTTTGAGTGGTTGTTGTTTCCCTTTCTGTGCAGGACTCAAGGGCTGTTCGGTTCTTTGATCGGAGGGTTAGTTCATGTTTTTAATTTTACCGGTTGTTATTGTGTTTGATTGTACAAGTTGCTTTGTCCTTTGTGGTCAAGACTATAACTTTTATTGAGTAATTGATAACTGTGAATTAGGCTTCTTTTTGTAATGGTTATTCTCCTCCCCCTCCTCCTTTTTCATCTCTTAATGAATGCTGATACGGGGTTGTCCAAATAAAGAATCCTCCTCCAGTTGTCTGCCTTCTGTCTGGTCTTCTGAGTTAATGTTTTATTGCTACAACTTTCTCTCTTCATTTGTCATATAAATTTTTAGCCCTTTTAACATTGCTATTTAAGAGGTTAGATTACTCTTATTTAAGGTTTCTAATTTTAGCTCTAGACATAACACTCATTTTCTTTTGTATTATTGAAGACATGGCTTTTTATCATTAGTAGGAAAAATATTTTCCGGATAAGGAGGATTCTTTATTTTATAATAGATTATGCTGAATTCTTCTCCTTGTAGCACTGTTTTCCAAACAATCTTGTCTAAATGTCTAGGATTACTATACTGCTCATGGGGAAAACGCGACTTTCATTGCAAAGACATATTACCACACAACTACTGCTTTGCGACAATTGGGAAATGGGTTGGACAGTCTCTCCAGTGTAAGTGTCAGCAAAAACATGTTTGAAACTATTGCTCGTGATCTTCTTCTGGAGAGAACAGATCACACTCTTGAACTCTATGAGGGTAGTGGCTCTAACTGGAGGCTGGTGAAAAGTGGTACACCTGGTAATCTAGGCAGTTTTGAAGATGTTCTATTTGCCAACAATGAGATGCAGGACACGCCTGTTATCATTGCTCTATTTCCAAACTTCCGTGAAAATGGGTGCACTGTGGGGTTGGGTTATGTTGACTTAACCAAGAGAGTACTTGGCTTGGCTGAATTTCTTGATGATAGCCATTTTACAAATGTTGAGTCAGCTTTGGTTGCTCTTGGTTGCAAGGAATGCCTTTTGCCCATGGACATTGGAAAATCCAGTGAATGTCGAACGCTGAATGATGCATTGTCCAGATGTGGTGTTATGGTGACTGAAAGAAAGAAATCTGAGTTTAAAGCAAGGGATTTGATGCAGGACCTTGGCAGGCTAGTTAAAGGTTCTGTTGAACCAGTTCGAGACTTAATTTCAGGATTTGAATTTGCTCCTGGTGCTTTGGGAGTATTACTGTCTTATGCAGAATTACTGGCAGATGAAAGCAACTATGGTAATTATACAATCCAAAGGTATAGCCTTGACAGCTACATGAGGTTAGATTCTGCTGCTATGAGGGCACTGAATGTCCTGGAAAGTAAAACTGATGCAAACAAAAATTTTAGTTTGTTTGGTCTTATGAATAGAACATGTACTGCTGGGATGGGAAAACGATTACTTCATATGTGGCTAAAACAGCCTCTCTTAGATATCAATGAAATAAACTCAAGGCTGGATTTGGTGCAAGCATTTGTGGAGGATACTGAACTTCGCCAAGATTTGAGGCAACATCTGAGGAGAATTTCAGATATTGAACGGCTTAAGCACAATCTTGAAAAGAGAAGAGTTGGTTTGCAGCATATCATAAAACTTTATCAGGTGAGTTTAAAATCCTATTATGCTAATAGATAGGGTTACAAACTTTTAAAAGTCTATCAATGGAATTGAGAATGTTTATATTTTGATAGGCACCTCAATAAGTAGACTCTCTTTTCTTCTATGGTTGAAGCAGAGCACTGATCTTCTTGAGGAAATTTAAATGTTCTGTACATGTTGTCATTCATTCAAGGGCTGTCAACTATTAACATTACTCTATCGATGAAATCTTGGCACTAATTTGGGAAATCCAACTTGCTATAATATGAAGGATGACAAATTTGTTTTCATTTACTCTGAGCCACATGTTTATTTGCCATAAACTGGTATTATATCTCTTAGTTAGAGTATCTTGTTCTTTTATTTGAAATTGCCATTTTTTTCCCTTTACCTTTATTCATCTTCTGGATGCAGTCAAGTATAAGACTTCCCTTCATTAAAAGTGCCTTGGAAAGATATGGTGGACAATTTTTATCCTTAATCAAGGGAAGGTATTTGGATCTCCTTGAGCATTTGACTGATAATGATCACTTGTCTAAGTTCATTGCTCTGGTGGAAACTGCTGTTGATCTTGATCAACTTGAAAATGGCGAGTACATGATTTCACCTGGTTATGATTCTGCGCTTTCTGCTTTGAAAGATGAACAAGAGTCACTGGAGCGTCAAATACACAATTTGCATAAACAGACTGCCTTTGACCTTGATCTACCTATAGACAAGGCATTAAAGTTAGATAAGGGCACACAGTTCGGACATGTTTTCAGAATTACAAAGAAGGAAGAGCCAAAAATTAGGAAAAAGCTTACCACCCAATTTATTGTTCTAGAGACCCGGAAGGATGGAGTGAAATTCACAAACACTAAGCTTAAGAAATTAGGGGATCAATATCAAAAGGTAATTGAGGAATACAAGAATTGTCAAAAAGAGCTGGTCAACAGAGTTGTTCAAACCTCAGCTACTTTCTCTGAGGTGCATGTGCTTTCTACATGTTTGATTCTTTCTGGTTGTTGTTGTGGCTGTGAACTAAAGGAGGTTTGGTTCTGCAGGTGTTTGGGTCTCTAGCTGGATTGCTTTCTGAATTGGATGTCTTGCTTAGTTTTGCTGATTTGGCTTCTAGTTGTCCTACCCCATATACAAGACCTGAAATCACTCCACCGGTGCTTATCTATTTGTTTTTTGCTACGTTTAATTCTTTGCTTTGATATTTTATTTTCTTGTTTCAGAAGGTCCAGCCCTTTAGATTACAAGTATTTTTTCGTTTTAATAGGATGTGGGAGATATTATATTAGAAGGGAGCAGACATCCTTGTGTGGAGGCTCAAGACTGGGTGAATTTTATACCAAATGATTGTCGACTTGTGGGTATTTTTGTGACCTGGTAAAGAATATTCTCTCCAGCCTCTTTAAATAGGAATCACTCATTGCTTCTTTGGCTTTTCTCATAAAACAGGAGAGGGGGAAGAGCTGGTTTCAGATTATCACAGGGCCTAATATGGGTGGAAAATCGACATTTATCCGGCAGGTAGGATCTTAGGGTTTATTACTCTCTTTTTATTCTATTTTTTTTTATCAGATTTAATTTCAAAGACCAAGTGATCTTGATTCACTTAAATCTTTCTGAGTTCCCCTCATCTCTACTCATATTAATATCATTACACAACTATGCATCTTGTCCTCTATTACATGGATTCCCATGAACTCAGCTATAATTAATGTAAGCAATTTTCTCTAGCTTAAAGTATCTGTCTATTTTGGCTGAGCTTTCAGGTTGGTGTTAACATTTTGATGGCACAAGTTGGTTCTTTTGTTCCCTGTGAAAAAGCTAGCATTTCTATTCGTGACTGTATTTTTGCTCGTGTTGGTGCTGGTGACTGTCAAGTGAGTTGCAAAATACATTATTTTGAATTTTTAACTCTTTAAATGAACTTAGTGACAGGGTGATAACTTTCCATTTCAACACACCTTATGCCCTAAGAAGGGGATATTAGAACTTTCCATTTTAAAGATTTATGTGTCTTTTTTCTTTTTTCTCTATAGCTACGTGGAGTTTCCACCTTCATGCAAGAAATGCTTGAAACTGCATCAATACTTAAAGGAGCTACTAATAAGTCATTGATCATAATCGACGAATTGGGGCGTGGGACTTCAACCTATGATGGCTTTGGTTAGTTTCAAATTTAATTTTTTTTCTTAAACAAGTTGCTGTTGCCTCTGCATCTCGCACACAGTCTCTATCCTAGAGTTGCTGCATTCTGTTGAAATGTTGGTTGAAAAATCAGATGAATAGAGTTGGTTGAGGATTAGCCTAACAATACCATCCAACTTCAGATGGTTCTTATATTGTTTTTAGACAAACTGGCAAGACTGCATTTTGTGGAGTCATTGTTTGTAAATTAATGGTATGAGCATGACTAAGCCTAAATGTCATTCTTCATCTGAACTGCAAAAGTTCAGTTATTTTCTATGGAAAATATACAGTTTCTATGGTCTATTACTAGAGAAACAACTCTGGCCAAAAAAGTGAAAAGAAAAAATGACTAGGGAAGCCACACCATCTGCAATGAAGACAAAATATCACTTTCTTCCAGTAATGTAGTCTTTAAATTTGGCTCTTGAAACTTTTTCCCACCCCTGTATTTTTAACATATTGACATTTGTGTTTGGACCATTAGTACCCTAGTATTGAATTCTTATGATATTTATAAGAGTAGGGATCCACTTACACACAAGTCTTACATGCTATACTCACACAAAACCTTAACCATTCATCTCTCCACTTTCAATAGTTGAGATTTATACACCTTTATTAAAGATAATTATCTTTTTTGTTTAAAAAGTCGTGATAAATCTCAATTATTGAAAGTGGAGAGGTGAATGGTTAAATTTTGTGTGAGGTGTGCAAGTGGATCCCTCCTCTATTTATAGCAAGGTAAACATGCTGCATCTTTTCTAGTGAAGCATCATCTACCTAGGGGTTGAAATGCATGTCATTGAATTTGTTACTCCTTGTATGTTTCTGTAAGTAAGTTATCAAAATTTCCTGGTTCTTAGGTTTGGCTTGGGCCATATGTGAGCACATTATTGAAGAGATCAAGGCACCAACTTTGTTTGCAACTCACTTCCATGAACTGACTGCGTTAGGTCATGAAAATACTGATATTGAGCCCCAGAGAAAACAGATTACTGGTGTGGCAAACTATCATGTTAGTGCTCACATTGACTCATCAAATCGCAAGCTGACAATGCTGTATAAGGTAGGTTGATATTGACTCAGATTAATCAGTTGCAGGTGAGACTTTTGATTCCTTAATTTTAGAGGCAATTTCAAGCCAGGCCAGGCCTGCTGCCAGTTTAACATATTAACTGCAACATGCTTTAATTCACGACTGGGGATAGGGGAGGCAAATAATTTTGTTATCAGTACAAGTAATCATCTTTAATATGTGGTTTGCTACAGTTTCAAATTTTAAATGGTAAGGAAACTAAAGGCATGTCCTTGTACTTCTACATATGACTAGGTTGAACCAGGGGCTTGTGATCAAAGTTTTGGTATTCATGTAGCAGAATTTGCCAATTTTCCTGAAAGTGTTGTTGCACTTGCTAGAGAAAAGGCTGCTGAATTGGAAGATTTCTCATCAGCATCAGTTATTTCAAATGATGCTAGAGAAGAGGTTAGGTCTTTAATTATCTTAGCGTACTCATTGCAGGGCAGTAATTTGCTTCTACTCTAGTTTTTGGTTGCAGATGCTTTAATTAGCGGATTTTCATTGTCTTCCATTGCCTCTTGATCATTCAAACTTTATCATGCATTCTCATCTTTAACAACATTGATTAGATTTACATTAACATCAATGTGACTGTCGTCAAGAATGTCACCATTTAGTAGCTTAAATTGTGACAGTGGGCAGAAGTACATAAAAAGCCTTCTATATTAATTGTCTAATCAGTGGCCAGGATTGTAGAAATAGCTACCTCCTTCATAGTAAAATTGTGAAATATTTTTAAGAAAGCAATTTCAATGACATAATACTCAAGTTGCCTGGGTTCTGTTCACTATAATCTACAGGTGGGTTCCAAGAGGAAGAAAGAGGGTGAACTGGATGACATGTCAAGGGGTGCTGCCAGGGCTCACAAATTTTTGAAGGAGTTTACTGATATTCCATTAGAGTCAATGGACCTGGAGCAAGCTCTACAACAAGTGTCCAAGCTGAGAGATGACCTAGAAAAGGATGCAGGAAATTGTAAGTGGCTCCAACAGTTCTTCTAGGTTATCCCTGACTGAAGATAATCTCTTTTGTTCTTGGCTTGCAAACTCATCTCCATGCGGGAAATGTCTTGAATCGTTAATAGCAAACATTGCTTCCAGTCATTTACTTCTCCGGTTTTGTCTCCCTATGATACATTTAGCCATCACTGCAGCCTGCAGGAGGTAGCAGACCTCTCTACCTCATTGTAACCTTTTTTTTCCCTTGGCATATGGAGGTTAGTGTGTTGGTTCATGTAAATTGCTTGACCTAATGTCGAAATTTCAAATTCAGTAAGAAATGCAATAGCATAATCACGTGATATGCATGAAATGTTAGATCTCAAGTGAATTTAACCTAACAATTTTTTGAGTCGAAGTTCATGTGCCTCACAAATTGAAGTTATTAATAATAATTTATCGACTTTTTTGACTACTAAAACTTGACACATTTTCTTTTTTGATATTGGAATTACAAATCACCATTCCATTAATAGATTAACTTTTATCAAGGAGTTTGAATATTAAAATCTGGGATACAACAAATACTTTTAACGGTATATCTTATGTGGAGGTTGAGATTGATTTATAGATAGTATAAGGAAAAGAAAGATGAAGAAATTATCAAAAGAAGCTTTTCATTCATGTAGTAGCCATGGTCACATTTATCACTGAGAATTAGGTAAGCGCATTTTAATTCTTTAGGTCGAGTTCTTGATTTGATATCTTTTTTTTTCTTTAAAGTAGATATTAACATCATTAATTTTTTTGGTTGAGTTATTGATTTGATATCTTCTTTTTTCTTTAAAGTAGATATTAATATCATTAACCGTAATTGTTACTTAAAAAAAAAATTATCAATGTTTATCATTGAGAATTAGGTGAGCGCACCTTAATTCTTCGGATGAAGTTTTTGATTCGATATCTTCTTTTCTCTTTAAAGCAGGTGTTAATATCATCAACGTAATTGGTACTTAAAAAAAAAAAAAGAAATTATCAAAAGAAAAAGGTAGAAAAGAGGAACCTACAAATATCATTTCAGAGAAGATGACAATGACAGGGTAATGAATTCCCGAAAATCATCTCTTTAGGACAGAGTTATGGGTGTCATGATGGTATTAAGGTGATTAAAAATTATAAAATGTATCTTTAAAAATATTAATTTTATTAAATTTAATTAAAATTAATAATTAATAATTTATAATTTATAATTAATGAAATAAGTAGTATTTATTAATTAATAAAATTATATTTATATATATATTTTTTAAATAATCACATTGACACTTTTTTATAGTAACAATATCTACACCTATCTTTTTATTTTATTTTTTTTTATGTATCTTTTTATTCTCTTTTTATTCTCCTTTTGGAGTGCTGCGTTGCTGGTGGTTGATGAGTGGATGATGATATGATATTTTAAAAAGGAAGGTGCAAATGGCCTAACCAAGTTAGGATAATAATTATATATATCAGACAAGTGTTTGATAAAAGACCATAACTAAAACAGTTGGTAAACAATCATAGAGCTGTGAAACGGGGTCCACTGACCTCTGATTTCTTCTGGGTTAGAATGTCAAAATTATGTTTGAGTAGGAGTAATAGTTACAGTAGTGTTTTTTTAACTAAAACTATTTTATAATTCAATTTAACGACAGAGAAAGTACTAATATTTTCTCTCTTTTTTTTTTGCGTTTAAAGAATTTTATTAATAAAAATTAATAATACCTGATTATATAGTTTAAAATTTTATATCCTAACACATCTTTTAAGAAATATAATCACTACACGTGATATTAAATAATATTTTTTTATAAAAATTTATAGGTAATATAAAAATATTATCCTTAGTTAAAAATATGTTTGTCTATTAATAGTTACTAGGATTTTTTTTTTTGTTTCTATTTAGAGTACTATAGAACTAGTAAATACTCTTTCATTCCCATAATAATACTTGTTTTTGTATTTATAATTTGTTTAGTTTAATTGGTACTTTTTTATTATCATAAAAA